AAAATCAAAAGGAAAAATAACACTGAGACACAAATTCAAGTAAAACGAACCAAACTGGGTTTATTCGAAAATTGAATTTTATTCAAGCAATTTCTACAGATGGAAAACCACATTTTGGCAAATCGATAATAATACTTACACCAACTTTGATTAAATGTGGTGCACTGGTTTCTTTGAATTGCTTTCTGGTGTTACGCTGTAATCAGTTATTATTGGTGAAAATTGTGTATTTTCCCCGCCACAATTAAGTTATGCTACGCGCAGGTTGCGATTAGAAGCATGTTTTCCAAGCGAACACGGTAATGTTTGTACAGCTTTCAATAAAATATATTCGAATCTTAATTTCATTTAAATTTTAAGGAATCGTCATCCAAATTCGGTTTGGCACCATGAATTTTCACCAATTATACAGGGGGAATACATTGTCGAAAAGTAAGAGATATTGGTCTTAAAATAACCATGACACAGAGAATTCGATTGGGTATTCCATTTATGATTTCATAAACTTTTTCAAAGAATTCTATTACAAGATATCGCACCCTTAAATGCATGTGGTCTAGGTGACCTTTGGTATCTGTGAATTTGGTAACATGGGGATAATCAAATACATGAACCACTTTTACCATTTGCAACAAAGTCGATACGTAAAGGATAAATTACTAAAATTAGAAATAATTGTCGGATGTGACTAATCTTCCCGTACAGTAAGAATCCTATAAATCACGATATTTTGAAGAATTAACCGACAATTTAAAAAAGTGCATAGTCATCGATATACTTATTAATTATTATACATATTATTTTCGCATGCATCCAGTCACAAAAGGATTAAATTTGTCTTCCATTTAACGAGTGGCACAGTACAGGGAGGTAAGTACCTCAGAATTCCACTACTAAGAAACACTTTTAAGCAAAATGTACAGCGTTAGACCATTGAGTAAAGGATCTAAGGTTAGACTTATGTTCCTATCACTTATTGTAACGATGCAAAGGTGCAATACAAAGGAATTGCGTAAGAAGAAAGGGGTTTAAGACAATCACATTTTTTTTAATCCTTGTAGCTTCTTTCATTCACGTTTGTCAAAGGGATGATCCAAATCTGGTTGAATGTTTAATAGCATCCGCTGAAGATTTAAGACCGTACCTGGCAAAAGGTAAATTGCACCGTAAAAATGAAGCAGTAAAAACCACAATGGTAGGTATAATACGATATGTCCGCAGGGGTGCCGGAATGCAACATACCCAGCATCGAACCACTTGTAATGAATGAACTAATTTCGGAACAATCGGTTGGCCTTTCTTTAACAGCCAATAATGTAAAAACGTACGGATGTAGTAGTTACACAGTTACATCCTTAAAGTAAAAGGAACTTGTGTGGTTACAGCAGCTCTAAAGGTTGATTGTAGAGTCAATATGGATGAGCAGACGTACGAGTTCGATACTGAGTTTCCCTTACTGAGCATCGAAGCCCAGTACAACGTGTCAGGGAAGCTGCTGATGATGCCTGTCAACGGTGCAGGTCCATTATATGCAAATCTCAGTAAGTGGACAGTTTCGCTCTCCACATGGGTGTTATGGCTATACTACATATTCTGATGTTTTGCAGCAAATTGTAAATCGAAGACTATGCTTAAAGGCGAGTTGTACGACAGGGATGGTGAAACATACTTAAGGTACAAGGATTTATCGCTACACATTCAAATTGGAGGTGGAAGTATAAAGATAGAAAATTTGTTCCGCGGGGACAAATTTATAAGTACGTGTTCAAATTTTCGCAATCTGTAATAATCAAAATGTTTGTAGGTGATATAGTACACGAGAGCCTTAACAAAAATTTGAACGCCTTCTTAGTGGAACTAATGCCAGCGGTGGAGCGCGCCCTTGCTTCGACATTTCTTGAAGTAGGCAACAAAATTGTTCATCCATACACTTACAAACAACTATTTCCGTATTAAGATTTATCTGCTGTTAATAAGTACGCTGAAATTTTTCCTCTCCTTAGCGACAAATGAAGAAATTAAATCTATTCATATTTTGTGCTCTGGATACAATTATCAATAACCGTAGCTGATATGGAGATGGTGTAGCCGAAAGGGGGTGAGGAGGGGGAGGGGTGTTTTTAACAAAAATATCCTGACTCAAATTTAGCATTTTAAGAAATCTTGACCCTTAATTATCAAAGTAAACTACAATATCCCAGTCCTCCTGGTCTGCATTGTGTGCCTAGTTCATTGCTCGATTAATGGTTCACGATTTATAGGGTTGGAAATGTTACCTCCATATCGGTACGCCACTGTTTGTCGGTATTTACCATCGACATACAATAAATGGACTGCGCGTGCCAATGCGAGCACGGATACTGCAGGTGAAAGAGAAGGGAAAACTAAGAGGGCAAGTTGTCTCTTACGGGCGATCGCGATCGCATTCAAATTAAATTGAAAGAACCAATCAGATGCGCAACCGTAAGAGACAGTTTGCCCTCTTAGTTTTCCCTTCTCTCTCACCTGCAGTATCCGCGCTTATCATTGACACGCGCAGTCCAACACTTACCTTTTTTTGCTGCCTATAGAAATACTATTATTTCTAGAAGGTCACAGTCCGTCTTGAAATACAAATAAAAAATGCAATTTACCTCATTTATATGGCGTCTAAATCTACCTCTCTGAGCAGTTCATTCTTGAACAGGTGAATCAGGCTCTAATATAGGATTCGTGAAAATGGTAATTCGTAGGTTGAGTTTACATCATAGCGCGTAACAGAAGGGCCCTTCTCTGGTTACAAGCTCCTACAGAATGTTCACTGTTATACTGCTGATCCGCTCGGTTTTTCTTCTCGAAACTCAATATTGAACGGCTCCTCGAACTTTAACTGACAGACCGTTTCCATTATTTCCCAATACAGGTTCGTCTGATCCGATCTTTACCAACGCTGCGACGCGAGTGTTATTTTGACCTGATCTTTACGACGGTTCAAGGAAACAAATCTTGGAATACTATCTATCCCTCTAAACACTGAGCACTGAGTTACTCTAACGGAATTCAACCCTACAGAATTACAAATAATCAACCCCTCCAAAGGCTGCCGCTACAAATTTCGTTATGTGGTCTTAAATTTGGCACAACGCGTTCTGGTTATTTTTGAAAGTGTATGAGTGTTTCAAAGAGACCACGACGCATTGTAGATGTTTTTTTACTCAACGAGCGTTTTCATTCATTGAGCTTAATTTCTTTTGTGTGAGAAGGAAGTAGTACTGTATCAAAACCGAACTATAATGCAATTCGATTCTCTGGACAGCCTACTCCGGTAAATTCTCTTATCCAACTGAATTATGAGCAGATATACCATCGAACCTCAAAGCAAATTAAACTGGAGGTTCGGTTGGTTTTGGTTTGTAGGTTAGTTTGTTCATTTGTTAACATATACAAGGTGTAACAATGAAGTATGTTAAAAAATTGGGTGGGAGGGATCAAAACATGCGTTTGTGTTTCAAATAAAGTGAGGGTTCAAAATGTTCTACTTGGTTTACGTAAAAACATTACGCATAATGAAGTGCGAGTAGGTTCGATGAAAAAGACGCCCAACTAAAAATGTGTGGGCAATAAGATGGGCTAGCTTGGTCTCGAAATTTTCGGGCGTTCTGCCCATTTCGTATTTTCCGCTCGTCTATAGATAATATAACATTAGAATTTTTGCATTGGAGAATATGAAATACGGAAACTCACGCAGCTACAAAGAGGTCTATCCAATTGCGTGTTGGGGAAAATTTTCCATTTGCGTTTGTTCCGTTAAGCTGAATTGCATTTAAGGTGACATTATGCTTACGAAAAAGCTCAAATATAAAGCGATGAGATTAACGAGTTCGATGCAGTTTGGCTTTTTATTCTTTCGCACTTAGAACTACGATTTGAATGTGGTCGAGATAAGTAAAAGTTGTACCACGTAGAGAAGACACAAAAGTTTAACTGTGTCCTCCCACACGCGATCCAGTTTTTAATTTTTCTTGGAGGGAGCGGTTTCAAGGTATGGCCGTACCATTTGTACGCCAACGATATCTGTAAATTACTTTACTTTCTTTTTGAATTGTATACAGTATTGACCAGCTATCTTTGAGAGTTTGCAATATCCTAAAAGGAACCGATCTGTGGAAATTAATTGCATGTATTGCATTTATTTATTATAAGTGAATCCATACAAAGAAATTTGGTTATTTTTTCATTAGCTGGGATTGCTGGCAATTTGTATTTTATTTAAGTGGTAACATTCCTTTGCAAGGATTCAAATTTTGTGTATATTATTAATGATTTTTTTAAACTAAAAACAAGAGGTTTTTTGCCCGAATCAATAACAAGAGGCAAAATTTGTACGGCAGAACAGATACAAACACTTCCGAAGAATCAACACTGCAGATTAATAATAGGATCACACATGGACGTGGTAAACAAACGCACTGTGCTTGCGTGACGATCCTTGAAATTTAAATTTCTTACTTTCACCAAGCTCCTCTGGCGATTGTATACCGGTAAAAGTAGGAAATAGAGGGTTTTTTAAGATCATTTTCTACTTTTACCAAAGACTCCGGTAAATGTATACAATTACCGGTAATTGTATACAATTACCATATTATGTACCCTTACCGTAACATATAATTATTTCAGAATCAGGATGAAAGGTGGCCATGAGACAGGGGTTATATTTTCTGTATTTATTGGGAATAAATCAATATTTTAAATCATGTAAAAGAGAATTTTGATTCACTTATGCAAAATGGTAATCTTGGTTATACAGTTGGCGTCCGTCCGTCCATCCGTCGGAAGGCGAAACACATATCCCAACATACAGACGACTTAAAGGCTACTTGATGTACGTACAAATTATTGATAGGATTAACATTTAACGATTAAACTAATTCCAAGTGACTTTGGACCACAAGAGGCCAACTCACGGTGGTAGGGGACATCAAACTTAGAAGAAGGGTCAGACGCACTCGCGTAGAATGAGTAAACAACATTAAGTATCCTTTTTTATATATAAATGCCATTATCATGCAATAACAACACTATATTTCTGTGTGCATACTTGTATTAGTGCAGTAGTAGTAGTACAGTATTAGTTTTTCCAGTGCAGATTAGAAGCTGTGACGAGAATAATTTGTAGTGCTTCCAAATCAATTTCAACTTCGTAATACTATGCGGATTATCCATACATTGACGAATAGGTGCTCCACGTGCTCTCAAAGCATTATTTTATTACTTGTTGTATGTTCAGTAGAAACATTAACAATGAGCAAGTGAGTTCCAAATGCTACAAACATTATTCGAATTCATTTTTCAAAAGAGGAAGCTTACCGCCAAGATCGCTTTAACATCTAGCGCATAAAATCCAGCAGCACTTAAGTCAAGAGGTTCGTGAAGCATTTGGTATAATAAGGTGCATCTCTAGAAACAGGAATAGCTTTTCAAGAATTGTATGGTTGAAGAACTCGATGATCGAGTAATCAAAAGAAACTAGATCATTTGATCATCGATTAGCCCTATGAAATAATCGCATAATTTTACTACCTACCTTCTTGCGTAAGACCTCGTCAAAGTATGGAAGTGTGAGATCGCACAGAAGTCTTCCCATGGTGTGACTCTAAAAGACTGATTGTTAGTCCACCAAAACGCTTAGGACACAATGACCACAAAAGCTATGATTAGGTGTTCACGATAGACGATAAACCTACCTCGGTTTTAATTTTCTGACCCAACGGAAGGGTAATTAAAGCGGTTACATTAAAAAGCGCCGTGGTTAGATGAACCTTCCAAGATCCAAAGTATGCCAAACCCGATGACATAACCGAAACGACAATTTCCACGAAGGCCATAGTAATTGATCCAAACGTGGCCCATCCAAAGCACTTGTTAAAGTTATACGTTAACTTGTGAACGGTGTAATGCATTTGGGCAGCGGTTGACAACAGCCTATCGGATGTTTCACGATGGAACGTTGCCGTTATCTCCACTTCCCTAATACATCGATTCATCTGCTGCAAACGTTGTATCGAGATGAATATGAAAGCGTTGTATAAGTAAACAGATGTGAACCGCACACCGAAGAGTATGGCAACATTACACATTAGCATTATGTGCTTCTGAGTTTCCCTTGAGAAAAATCCAGTGGCTTGAACTGAGCCCACAATTTCCCAGATAGGTGCTACTAGAAAGAAAAGATAAAACGGAAACGTTAGGTAAAGCAAGAGAAGAGTGATGTGGAAGCTTTTATAAGACGCTTGTAAGCCGACATCTTTTAGTAGCTCATCTGCATGGTTTATTAAATCCAAAGTTTTTAGAAACACCTTAGTTTGAACAAAAAGCTCAAGGAGTTTCGCCATATTAGTTGCCTGCGATAATACAAATAATGTGCCAATAATTGCGTCGTGGAAGGACGGCGCTTTGTCTTCTAGCGCCAAACGAGCCAGAACGGTTACCAACATAAACACGATGATGACTGCAATATGCATTTATCAAACTGTGATTAGAGTAAATGTAAAAACTTGCCAAGTATGTAGCCAATGTACAGATAATTGTTCTTTTTAAAACGAAATGCGCGTTTATGGTTCACAACATCCCTGGTGTAAGGTGCCATTCCAAAAACCTTAGATGGAAGGTAAAGAGCGTCTATAAGTTCAAAAATGCTACTCGCGTACTTCATGGTGGCGATTTGGTATTGAGTTACACAATGCAATATAAACTTAATCGTAGTGAGTACCTTCAATAACTAATGAGCTATAGTAAATAATATAAATAGTAGTCCATTTTCCTACCCCCAATAAACGATCAATAGTATAAACGGCGAATCAAACTTTTATAAACCCTAAAGTGCAAGATTTAAACCGGTAGGTGACATGTACACATTTAAATGGTATTTTCGTTACCAAAAGGGTACTAAATTTCTAGACCAAGCTGTAACGGTTTCTTTCCTTTCTGCATAAACATTTAAAATTTATATTTCTTTAAGTAAATACCCATTACACATTCCGTGTATTTCTCGGTTAAGTTCATGTAGTTAGTTTTATTGGTACAGTTTTATTTCATAGTTCTTTATTTTCCCGCTAGAAGCCATGGGAATGTACTTTTCTATACAGTGACTCTATAGCGACAGTGTGGTCATAGGGTGGTGTTATTTTCTATTGGTAGTTGGGAGATACGCCATGTTTTGGCCAAATCGAGGGCCAAATACACCGGATTGATAGAAATTCTTCATTTTAGTTCGTTATTACTACCCACATCTATGCTTTTGAAATTACGCAGAACTTGGATGACATTGCGCTTTACAATGGACCCACTATTTTAAGATCGGCGACATTACTTGATTTGTTCCAGTGACCCGCATACCGATTATTTAACCCTGATTTATTGTTCCTGATTTCTAACTGCAAGTATTACGATACCTTTTGAAGATCTCTTGGGAATTGTTTCGATACGTCTGATTTTACGTACATTCGTTTTTGTCGTTCCGAAGAATACGCCTTTCAACACGTCGATTTTATCTACGTTACTTTTGTCGTTACGAAGATTCATTCATGTACCCTGGTTACGTTTCAACTCTTCAAATTACTTTTATACAGGAATTTAGTTATGTGTACTTTGTAAAGTAATTTTCTTTACGTTTATGCTTTTATATATCCCCGATTTGCACGAACAACCCGTTGTGGATCAAAATTTTGCTTTTGCTTTTTTAAAGTTATTTGATTTATTGCTTTCCCTTAAGTTTTGATATCAATAATTTCAGTACGAGTCACTTGATGCGACAAACTAACAATATCGAAATCTCCACGTATAAACTTCGAGTAGGTAATAATGTTGGTATTAAGAAGTAGATTTGCATGGTTAGTGTAGGTAGAATTTCCCTAGTCGGTAATGTAGAAACCCATCCGTCACGTGACACGCTCCAATTTCAATCTTAATAAGATGGCGAGTCCAGGTAAATATGCGGTTTGCTGCTCGCCTATATCTGTAATATTAACTCCAATTACAAATAATTGACGTTAGCCGGATTAAGGGAGAAATTTTAGTTAAACATAATAGAGTTCAACTCACAATTACTATACCTTAACAATTAAGTCGTGTCCTCAAGCCATGTCCTACTTAGACCACTTCCAAATTCCGTGAATTAAATTATTCTGTATTCAATTCAATTAATAAATCATAAATGAAAAGAAATTACCATGAAGTACTGTGTTCATTAGCAGTTCCATCGATATTGCACACTTACTAGCAATAACTAATTAAAATCAACGTGCTGTGCGTCGTAAAGGATTACCTTACCCTATAAATGTAAACACCGTTTCAAAGTTTAAGTGAGCATCAATAAATGATTTTCTTTACCTTTGTGTTCGCCAAAAAATAGTTAAATTTGTAACTAGACCTTTGCTTAGAACAAAGTTAATGAACTATTTCCTTTACCTCATTGATATAGGTATTTGTTTAAATGCGTTACAGGTTTTGAGGTAACTATAGCAGCATTAGTCCGAATCGATCCATTGTTGTAATAATGGGCCTCCTGGATTTTAAGTTTTGCCCAAAACTAAAGATGTAAACCTAAAATAAATAATGCATACAAAACAGTAAGATCAGCTATGCGCGTAATTGTAAATAATAATTCTTTCAGATATTATTGACTGTTTTGTTGAAAGTAATGCAATCAATAATTTAATAATTGGGCCGGGTTAGAGTTGATTTTATCCGGTGGTGGGTTAATTTTTATTTGTTACGATTCTGATATAATTTTATATGAATTTCAGAGTTAAAGTTACGTATAAGGTCGCCATTTATCTTTACGATGGTACCTAACCTTTTTGTTATTCCAGATGTTCAATAAAATAGACCGATGCCAATAAAATAGTTTATTGCACATTTATATATCTCGGAGATTTCGGGACACACAAACCCCATCAAGTGGATCACAATCTTTGAGTCACATATGCGTACCTTTTACATTTTTGACTTAATCTCAAAAGTAACACCATTTTCGTTTAGTTGTTTAACCAGACTTGTTCTTGCAAATGCTACTCCTGGTGTATAAACTCCTCCCCTAAAACACACATATATCAACTAAACCCTGACGAGGTAACTTACTCATATGGCATGTTTTCCGGTTCCGTTAGTAAGACGATTGCTGACATGGTAACGCAAATGCAAGTGAGACCGTATCCTGGATTCATTCCGGAAACGTGCCCAATAATTGATTTATTTGGAGGTTTTCTGAAGCTTGTGTCTGACGCGGACACATTTTCATCCCAACCGACCCCGTGGAATACGATATCGTACGAAGTCCTCTCACTCTTTTCGTCGGAGGGGTTTTCAAAAGAAAACATTCCTGCGGTGAAGAAACTTGGAAACTGAAATCATGATCGTAGGAACATGACAATCGTAGCAAGAACCGTACCGATAACAACAGCTTTCGGCCAAATTTGTATTTAACCAAAAATAGAATAAGGTTTTTGTAAAAGTTTATAAACTGAACACTGGCAGCCGAATCAATTGCTTCGTATGGATTCACTTGGACAGGTCTCTTATTTTCGTGTTCGTAAAAGTACCGTTGAGTCCTATTGATTACCGCGCGATCCGCTCCCAGAAAAGGAACAAGCCACGCATTTGCAACTTCGCTCTTGTACATTTGGGGTCTATAACAAAATGCCATAAAAATTTCCTTACACAAATCTCTTACCTGAGGGGCAATCTAGGTTCATAAACCGGAATTCGCTTTTTAAACATTTTTCTCCTCAACGCGCTTATTTGGGGCAATTTCCCAATTCCTTCTATCGCCGACTCCCACGTTGCGAAATTGAGTAGCGGACCTGGAGTTTTTGGCTCTTGCTCGTCTAAATACAGATACGTTTCCACGGAGTTCAGAGTGCCTGCGAAAGCGTTTCTCATTATTTTGCTTTTCCGAACTAACCGTACCCTCGAAATTTTGCTGTAAAAAGACAACTCCTAAATCTCCAGGTATACTGTCAGCACCACACGCACTTATTATATAAATTCCTTTTTGGGCGGCCAACCTATTGTACTTGTACTGCATATTTTCCATAAAAAAGGTTTCTCCTGCTACATCCACGTGATGCGTTCCCGTCTCTAGGCAGGCTATTATAACCGTTTCACCATATACATCGAAAGGTCCACAGCAATTGATAATTAATCTCGCTTGGGAAGTCATCTTATTTAAAGAGTCGTTGTCGTTGACATCGGCAATAATAATAGGGATTTGGGTTAAGTCCGGACCTTAAATTATTATTTAAAAGGCATTCGGAATAAGACTAAAGTTACCAGTTTGGGGTACACATTCCTCCAGTACCTGCTTCAATTTCGCTTTGGAGCGACCCGCAATGCCCCATGTCAACGATCTACCGTTCGCTCGTGTAAATCTGTACAGATACTTCAGGCAATTTTTTCCCGTTTGTCCAGTTGCACCGAACAAGATTATATCTAGACGATCCGACATTCTATGAACAACTGAATTTTTCTAACCTAACCCTACTGCTTATATTAGTAATAAAGTATTGCTTTTATCCTCGCTTTTATCACTGTTTGATAAGAAGTTAACATAAACAATAAACATAAACCCTGTAACCTCGCATTCAAACTAATGAACGTGTAACTGCCATATGGACAGTTTTAAATCATATTTGTTACCTATTAACCTAGCCCCTACAAGAAATTTTAATGGCAACAGAATGGTCAAAAGATTGACATTCGCTTTAGGCTGTCGCAGACAATCATGATACCTTTAATATATAAAAAAGGAACCACAATTGTTTATTGTTTCTTTAAAGCAATCGATTTCGGGTTTAATCACCCATCATCAGGCTATGCTAAAAAATATCACATGAATTCGAAGTTGAACACAGAATTAAACCCGAAATCGATTGCTTTAAAGAAACAATAAACAATTGTGGTTCCTTTTTTATATATTAAAGAATCTCAACGAACCCCAAAAAAATGGAGAATTACATTACATAAATCATGTTACCTTTACGTCGCCCAACGAAAAAATGTTCCCTGAAATTTGTTACGTATAAATAAATCTCGACGCGTTGAAGTTAGGGAACCCTGTGGTCATTCAATACCACCACTTTGGCAGAAACTCGCCTCAGAAAATCGATTGTCAATCGTCAATCGATCGGAACGCCGTCAAGAATTTCCTTCGATTGAATTTCCTCGATTCTGTTAAACATGGCCAAAAATAATCGATTTTTGTATTGTATTTGGTAGATTAGAAACCAGGGGCACAATAAATAGAGGCAAAATGCTGCAATATGGATATATTTTAAAAAATGCTTCCTATTGACTTCCAAAAAGGTCAAAACTCATAGCGATTACGATAGGAGCGATTGTTGCAAGACAACGATGCCATTTACTAATCATCGCACAGAAACTATCGTTATCTCTCGGTCTATAGGTAATAGACGGTTCAAACAAATTCATACAATATGCAATTCAACCGCATGCAATTTTCGTGAATCATAAAAGCTATGTGCAAATTATTATATTTTAATGCAATCAATCAATAAGAAATGAAAAGAAATGAACTTACTATTATTGGTCAATATCTTGATTTTAGTTTGACCTGAGACGTTTAAAGTGCAACTTAAGTTGCCTAAGAGTTTCATTCTGATCTGTAGCGACTTCAGGGGTGAGTTTTCTTGGGGACAAATCTTTGTCGCGGCCACCAATTTGCGAGCGAATCTTCTGGAGACGAATGTTCCGGGGGCGAATCTTGAGGAAGCGTAATCTACTTACAAATCACGTAACCTGTTTTTTTGAATGATTGAATTTTATGTTCAACGAAATTATCTTCTATAAGTTGCTATGTATTCCTTTCTGTTTTATATATGTTTTCAATAAAATGCGCGCTGTAGAGATTTGAGTAGCAAATATAATAAGGCTCCATTAGCGCAAGCGCGATAGACTTAGCCTAAACTCATGATACTAGTATCATGGCGTCTCATGTTGTGCATAATCGTCCGTTTAAAGTGATTTTCTTGTGTCCCTTAAGGGAAGCTACCAAGCCCTGTGATGTATCAGAAACGTCAAACTTAACGTGCAGGTTATCTGCAAAAAAACGTTTTTGACAGATAACTTCCACATTATTTATTTATCTATTGTCACTCTTGTTCTAGGCTCTCAACAGGCTTACGCCCAATTACAGAACGACCCGCATAATGCTTTTTAGAGGTGCTGCTCTATACTACTCATCTTCGTGCGTATTTTACTTAATAATTTAGAATTCCTTATTTAGAATTACTATTCACATTGTTTACTAAGGTAGGTTTAATTATCTGACTAGCAGGACTATTATGAGCTTAATTAGTAATTAGTAGGTGTTTGTAAGAATTTGTTTGATTTTAATATTTAAATGTACTCGGTGTGAAGTAATCGCTTGTAATGTTTATAACATTTATAGTTCCTACAAATGGAAGTAAAAAAATTTGTTTATAAGACACGCCAATATAGAAGTTTGCAACGAACTTTCGCCGGAAAGTTGCGCACCATGCTCCGTCGGTTCTCCTTTACTCAAAAAAATAGACAGTATAACTACAAAATTGAAATGTAATGAATATAAGAAAAAGAAAAATCTAGTGGTAATTTACAAGTCAAGGTCTGTAAATGGTGACGGTGGCGATAGTCGGCGGAAGACGGCAAAACAGCCCCCACCTCCATAATTAATGAAACAGAAAGTAGCAAAAAGCTTACTTTTCAATTAACCGAGCGGTGCGTTTACCTTTATAAAAAATTCAACTACGCCATGGGGGAAACGTATGAAATTCGAAGTCGACCGGAGTATTCGGTATCAAATATCAAGTTTTTTAACGACACACCTATCAGATGTAATCTCGTTTTATCGGAAACTGTTACTGTAACCCATTCACCTAATTACGGTTAATTATACTTATCCAAATAGTGGGAACGAAATCTCCAAATTCTGCAGTCCACCATTTCCCTTTCGTTCCTTGGAATGTGAAGTCAAGCAGCGTAATTTGTTGATATTTTTCCTAAACTGCACCACCTTGCCGGTGTAATACTGGATTTTCGTATACCATTAGAAAACTAAAGTCGATTAATCGGTAATTAACGGACCTAAATCTTAATAAGATTGATTATCTCTCTTCTTCAGTGGCAAGAGGGCTTTTCTTAGCTGTAAAAACAATTTAAACATTCCCGCGGGAACGGTTGCAATCGGCAAATTACCTACGGCCTCTTATTTTCCTTAACGGGCGGCTCTACAAATTAATCCACTAATTTCTACCTTATATTTCTACATCTTATTTATTTTATTTTATTTTATTTTATTTATCAAATAAAAAAAATAAAATAAATAAAATAAAATAAAATAAAATCTTATACAGAAATACAAATAAATATTTTCGGAGCGACAATCACCGTAAGGAAGCGCCCAACATAAAACGCTTCTTGATACCGTGGGTGTTGATCTACAGAGTGATCACGAAAACTGCTAATTTCAAGGCGGAAAACAGGTAACGAAACTTAGTATGAAGGTGGATCACATTCCAAGGCAATTAATTAATTAATTTTAACGAATTTATAAAAGAGTTTTATCTTTACTATCTCCGGATTGTGCAAATTATTGACGATTTCGACTAAATCGTGTAAAACTGAATAATTTAGAATCGTTTACTTAGAACTATTCGTTGGGTTGTTTACTAAGGTTGGTTTAATTATGTGGCTAGCAGGAAGGTTATTTTTGAGCTTAATTAGGAATTTAATTGAGATCGGATTGTGTTTTGCACACTTGTTTGGGATTCAGAGGAGAATTTAAGAACAATTTTACAAATTCAGAACGGACAAGCAAAGCCGCTCATTCCATCCTTCGAAAAAAGAAACTTTTAGTTTATGTGGAAAATATCTTGATGGAAATCTCCTCTATCATCTTCAGCATTACCTCCATCAGCATACTAATTTTACAAAGTAATGGTTTCTTATGTACAGGACGCCTTATCGGAATTTAAATAGCCTGAAAAAGGAAAGAAATACGACAAAAAGAAAGGATAAATTCCTGATTTTGCGCAATATCTCCACCAACAGTTACTCTCTAAAAAATGAGACTAAAAAATAAAGGAGGTTCTTCTCTGTGGACGGACCGAAAGTTAAAAAACGTGTGGAAGTCAGAAAAAAATCTTTACAATAGCGACACGGAGTTTGGGAACTCATGTCTCACCTCCTAATTCAACGCTTAAGGCAAATTAGGAATGGTAATTGTGTGACTGCAAAATTTAATATATTACAGATTCCACTGATAGGAAATGGCAAAAATTGTTTGCCGTGAAGCAAGGATTACATCATCTTCTCGTCTTAAATTCGCTGCCATGCTATCTTCGATTTTAATTCAGGTATAAAAAATTCAATTAAATGGTGTTATAATGAAGGTAAAAATGATTACGTAACGATACAGTCCATTACAAGAATAATTTTATTTCCATATCTAGGTTAAACGAAAAATAATGACCGAGATCCTCTATAAAAACGATGGGATTTTAAATCAAAAGATTGATCATTTTGAGTGATTTATTTTTCTAATCTTTCATTCGTTTTTTACCTGTAAGGTAGCGATATTTTTATAATTACAAGACATTATTTGATAGTCCTAGTTATATATGACAGTTTCATAATGTATTAAAATTTCACGACGCACACGAGCCAAATTATGTCTTAAAATAAAATGTCAAATTTTACTCGCATAATTGCACATTTATTTAAAATAAATATATACATCCTTATTATTTATACTATACACACAAAATACCTGCATTTACAACTAACAGCTAGGTGTTACCCTACTTATTAGCTTACGCTAAGTACAGGCGATCGTAGCACCTTTAAAATCACAAAAATGAAATCTCATAACCTGAAACATAGCAAATGTCGTCCTAATAATTGTAATAATTCCTAGCTAAATTATAAAAAAAATGTGTTGTACTTCTTTGAATCAACAGCTGTTAACTGCTTAACGAAGCAAAATAAATGTTCTGCGACGATGCATTACATTTAAGTACGTATTTTATTTATGGCATAATCCCATTGGCAAGCGCTTCATAAATACTACCCTTCATTATCTGAAAATTTGAAATTAATTATGAGAAGTCATAAATTTAGAAACCTACAAATATATTTAATAACTGTATCCAGTTTGAGGATTGAAGCCCGGCCTACTTCCTCCGGGTCTTGCACCAGGTAGTCCACCGGCACCTGGACTGCTGGAGCCTCCGGGATATCCACCAGGACCACTACCGCTAGGATAACCACCTGGACCACCACTAGGATAACCTCCCGGACCACCACTAGGATAACCGCCAGGACCTCCTCCACTTGGAAAACCCCCCGGGCCGCTGGGTCGCCCACCGGGACCGCTTGGATAACCGCCTGGTCCTCCGCTGGGGTAACCCCCTTGTCTTCCACCAGGACCTCCACTTGGATATCCACCTTGACCGCCATTGTAGCTACCATCGCTTCCACCTCCACGAGCCTCTTCAGCGGCATTTTGCTCGAGAGATCTTAAGATTTCTTCCGGAATTGGGGGAGGTGTGGGAAGGTGAGCTCCTTGTGGTACAAAACCATTTTCATCGGCTGTATAAGTGATTTCGATCTGTTGACCGTCAGGAGCAGTGTAAGAAAACGATCCACGTACAGCTTCACCGCCTTCCTCTTGATTACTGTCTGGTCTGGCATGTCCTTCTTCTTCTGCTTTGATCCCATTTTCAGTTTCAAAACTGCAACCAGACAATTACTAAGCTTATTTTGAGCTTCAAACTCACCTGAATTGATAACTGCCATCTCCGGCGTTCGGGGTGTTATCGAAGCGTAAAATATTGGCACGTGCATCGGGACCTCCTCCTCCTTGCGGTCCTGGTCCAAATCCACCCGGCCCAGCGGGACCGAATCCACCGTGTGGTCCTGGCCCAAACCCGTTAGGTCCTGGACCACCGGGTCCGGCTTTTCCGGGTCCGCTAGGCGGTCCGTATAACGGCCCTGGTGCACCTCCCGGTCCTCCGAATCCTGGACCACCTGGTCCTCCCGGTCGTCCTCCTGATTATAAATACGCGTAAATTTTGTAAACCGCGTACACCCACAGTTGGCAATTATGTTGAGTAATTCTTAATTACGTATTGGACGCATTGCGCGAGATTGAAAAAGATGCGCGTTATTAATCTAAAGTGAATGTACATTGACGAACTATAAGTACTACCTTGAAATTGTTATAGAATTATGTATTAAATGCAACTCATCGATTATAAGCGGTTGGCATTACCTAAATTCGTAAATATCGGTGCCGAAGATGAAAGTAAGTATATTCACATGAGATTCGCGTTTGTTACAAATTTCTGATAAAATGTGTAACTAGAAATCGCACATTTTTAACGATTCCTCAGCTATCGTAACCTATCACGTTTAACATGTAATTTATAGTAACTGCCGGTTGTAGTGTCACAAGGATTACAATAGGCAGGATCAGAGTAACGTACCGAAGCCTGGAGCGCCGCCTCCTGATGGTCTTGGTCCAAACGGGGCGGATAATCCTGGTCCACCACCGGCGCCGTGGGCGCCTGCGGGTGGAAGGTATGTATTATCTAAGCGAGCGCAGTAACACGCTCCCACAACCACAGCCAAAAGTAACTGAAACAGATAATGTGAATCATAGAGGATGTATCAGATTAGAAATGCAGCTTGCAAGTACTTCACCCATAAAAGTCAAGAGGTAAGTACTTCAACATTGTTAGGAAATCTGACTGTCAATATGCCACCTGCAGTGCCTATCGCGAAAAAAGTAAGTGTCTCATTGTTCAAAGCGAAATGTCACGATTTTGCAAAGTTAGTTACACTGCTTTGAAAAATTTCAATGAAGCGGTTTTATGAATGAAATCGATGCTCTAGTTTTGCATTTACTACATAAACCGGTTGAAGTCAAAGTCAAGTTCAAATGGAAATTACTACGGAAAATCGTCTTAACAATGGGGCTATACGAATTTTCACATTGCAGTAACGAAAGGAGGAAACACTAATAAAAGCAAGACGCATCTGTAACATGATGTATTTACAAGACTGAGTTAGATAATCTATTATATAAACGCAAATTAAATTCTTGAGACGGTAATTTTACAAAAAAGAACACATGGAAAGAATACTTTTAAGGAGATGTTAATTTCACCTGGAGAATGTCTTATTTTTAAGCATGGTGCTTGCGTAACACTGATGCGCACCCTTTCCTTGCCCAAGATGATACCGAAGGGTGTATCCGAAATAAGGAATACCTTGGCATAATTTCATTGAAGCAACTTTTTTGTGTCTTAATTTAAAGCACTTAAAAGTAAATATTTTAGACATTAGCGAGGCCTTAAAACCTTCATGGACTTACCAATTTCATGATGTGTAAGTGTGATATATTCACTAATTGTACATGCAAGGTATGTAAAGACGACTGTGGTGGATGTTAAAGAAGATTCCCTTTATATAGTATAAAATCGGAGCATGGGATGCAACCCCACTCTTTTCCATTAATCAGAACAGTGAGCGAAACGAGATCATCTTCTTTTGTGAAAATAAAAGTGATGCAAAATATTAAGGTACTGCTTGCGTGCTATACCGTCCTTTCACACATCATCCTGATCATCGTTGATTCCTTAATTCACATATATGCAGACTGTCGATTTAATTATCTTTACATGAACTAAATTGTTTACTTCTAATTACAGGTCGGTACACATTTACACCTATTGTTGTTATTGCTGAACACGTTATGTCACCTAGAAAATTAGCATTGTCTGGGCATAACTAATTTTGACTTTTCGACCACTCTTGGATTTTTTGACTATTGTTAAAAGGTCCTTGCAGGCGTGGCCTGTTAATTTAAAGGAGAAAAGTGCATCGAATGGGTCTCAAAAGGTCTGTTGCGACATTCATCCTTAACTTTTATTATAAAATAGTCACAATAAAATTTGTAGACGTTTCGATACACATTAATTCAATGTATTGTCGTTACTTGCTTTTTTTCTTAATCCGCGTAACCTTCTTTAGGATTTCTATTATTATTCCGGATATTCTATCTCCTTATGCATCAGTCATAAATTATTGCTATTTATTGACAATCACTTTCAATAAATTGAGTAATTAGAATTATGATTTATCCCTGAGCTAAAATGCTTTTGCCATCCCTTACGGACATTTTTGCCGATCTTGGAGTAGGTATAATAAACTCTTTGTAATACTTGACTACCTATATTAAATTAATATTTTCTGGACGTAATTATCTCTATTTAAAATTTAAAAGCTTTTGAAAATTTGTTGATTCTGAAAGATTAATGAATTTTTTCTGGGTGCGCATCCGCATTACATTTGACACCAATATTTGGAAAAACGTAGAGCAGCTTTCAGGGGGCGAGGCGAAATCTTCCCCCCGAAAATTAATGAAAGGTTCCCGCAAAAGAATGTGAAATGAAGGGCTGATTTCATAAAAACTTTTTTCCGAAATTTGCTCGGTCATGAAAAGTAAGCGGATTTCACAACCCTTACGTGAAACAAGCATTTCCGTTGTCTACGTCCAAAAATTGGTAGATTTAGCTTTACTGCTATATAATAATTAATAAATATCTTAAACAACTTGTTAATTTTTTCTCTCTTACAACTCATTTTAATCTGTTAGATTTAAAAAATCTTTGTTCTACAAGTAAAGTGTAAGGCAAGGCCTAAAATAAAATTGGGCCTCTACGGCACTCGCACAAATTCTAATATAGCAATCAATTTTAATGGTTCCCACAGCTAGCTCAATAATAAAATTGTTTTTATCTTATACAAGAGACATTTTATCGCCTGTGTGAGAACGGGATAGAAGACAATTGCAGAGATAAAGCGAGAAAATTCATTTACTACTACTACTTTAGAAACGACTACTTTCGTCTCTAAAAAGGGCGAAGAAAATGTATTTTCCTCTCTAGTGAGGAAAGTAAAGAACAATTGCTGCGTTAACCCTAATAATGACATTCAAATTGAAACATACCCGTATCTAAATTTCTATGTGTTAAACTTCATTATTGCATACAATAATTTTTCAATGTTGTTTGTAATTTTAGAAAGAATTATGTGTAAAAACTTGAGAAGAAAATGTTGTTCAACTCTCGTTCAAACTTTGAACTCGAGTTGGAAAAATCCACTTTCTTCTCTAGTTGTACAAATCTATTTCCAGGCTAGGCGAGAAAATAAATACGCCTTATATAACCTAAATGACGCAGTAGTAATAAAATTTTAAGGAAGCTAATATTTCTTATTAATTTAATAAGATAGGTACATAATAAAAACAGTTTAACACTGATTTAATAATTAAATTTACCTTAATAATTTTATTTTACTGAATGAATGAATTCAGTTAATTACGATACCTACCTATTTCTACCTTCTGTGAATTCCCAATATCACGTGACAAATTCAAACGATTCAATGATTGTTTTCCAGAAGTAAAAACCGAAACGGGTCATTAAAGTCACTAAATATAGAAAGTACCGCAATCCATTGGGCTCGTATGTTAGAGAGAGAACGCATGATTTTTACCCAAAAATGGCGGAAGTTACCAGATTCTAGTAACTTTAATGTTAGGGATTGTTCCACCTGTCTGGAGATATCTGTATATATTTTTATAAAACATGACAGTACTATGAAGTTAGGTTATAAAAAATTACAGCTATTCAGATTTTATTTGTCAATTTTTTTAAGTTGGCAGCGAATTTGCCCAAAAATGGCGGATGATTGCGGTACTTTCTATATTTAGTGACTTTACGGGTCATATTTTCTGAGCGACCTCTGTACACCAATAGGAAAACCGCATTTCGGTCACGAGCTCGGCTTTTCGCACCGCGGAATGAAACTTTTAAGTCCGAAGAGATCGCGTCAACTGTGCTCGCTTGCAATACGTTTCGTGATATTGCTCGTTATCGCCAGACATACCTTTGTTCAAGTTCACTATAAAGCGGTACATTCAAATGCTACCAAAATATTAATTTTTTTCACTGCACATACCATTGAGTAAGGAACTATCAAAGTTTTAGATATGTCAAGAGAAAATTCAAAAAATATTGCAGGCGCAACCAAAGAAGTAATTTTAAATGTACTCCCCAGTGAATTAAAAGATAATATGTGAAAATGTTACGAACAATTATTAAAGAGCAGAAAAACATGTGGCTTAGTATAGTAGGATTTTCTTAAGTTTGCACGCATAGATATCTTTCTGAACTAGGTAAAAATGCGTATTTAAGTGTTAACATAGATCTTATTATACCACTTTTTAGAGTAAGAGCCTGAAGGCGTCAATTTAAAAAGCACCAAAGAGTTGACATTTCAAGTTATCGCGAACCGATTGCGTTTTAAAAGAAAACAAAAGGAACGCTATAACTCATAATTTTAAAAGATTTGACGTTTTAAGCTTCCCAATGACGCTTCAAAACATTCCTTATTGTGAAAGTATCTATGAAGCAACCAATAAGAACCGTATTTTTACAGTTATTGCTGAAGCAAATGGGACTAAATTATATAAAGAGTACAGTAAGTTGCGGCCAAAAACATTAACTATCATAGATTCTTTATTTGCAAAGGAAATTGCAAATATACGGTGCAATCCGTTGTTATAAACTGTAAGTATTTGTTAGAATGCCTAAGCAATAAGCTGAAATGTAAATTTAAAAAAAAAGTCAACAACAACCCGTTCAGAATAGAACAACCAACACAAGAACAGTGGGCAAAAAGTGATAAGGAGAAAGTAGAAGCATTTCAGCGTCACAAAATGACCCCGATGAAGGAAGTGATGCAAATATTAGGCTCAAGTGACAAGTGTCAGCAGTACAACCACCCGTCACACCTACAGACATAAAAGGTGAAATAAGACGCCTAAACCTAAGAAAATCCCCGCGTATGGATCTTATCACAGCAAAAGTGCTTGAAGGACTGGCCAAAAAAGGGATGGTACTACTGACATATATACCTATATCTTTAATACAATCCTATACGGATCCAATACTGGCTCCAAAAACTAAAAAGTGCGGAGATAATTTTAATCATCAAACCTGGTAAAGACCCATAGTGTAAAATCATATCGTCCTATAAGCCTATTATCAGATATTTCAAAAGTTCTCGAAAAACTAGTGAACACACCATGTATACCGGATTATCAAGTCGGATTCCGACAGGCTCACTCGACAACCCAACAATGCCATCCAGGGGCGTGGCAAGGTAAAATTGCGCCTAGTGCAAAGTTTGTCCGAAGCGCCTTTTTTAATAATAATAATAACAACAATAATAATGTAGTCTTTGCATATATTTTATTATAAATAATTATATTACTTATTTACGATCAATCCTGACTCAAGTGCACTTAAAATTGCAAAATAAAAACTGTAAAATACTTTTGTATAATTTTTATTTTAAAAAATGTAGGACTTTTTGGCACCTAGGGCACTTGCCTGGTTGCCCTACTGGATGCCACGGCCCTGATGCCATCGAATATCACAAATCATACTCACCAGTTTGAACAAAGGATACTGTGTATCAGTATACCAGGCTTTTGACAGAGTCTGACATGTACAATTAACTACAATACGGTTGTATAACAGTCTTGAAATGAATTAATTTATAACAGTAATTATGTTGGAACTTGCTAACTACACGCGATTCAGTTCGCTTATATAGCAAACGCCGGTCTTTCACGAACACTTCCGAACGCTCTTGAACATGTTAGAACAAAACAAGTCATATTTCTCGGAAAGAATGCGTCACATTCGCCTTATAGTTTTTTATCGCCTCGACGTTAATCGGGATTTCTAGAAGATTCGCTACATTAGTTTTGTTAAAGCATTTAGTGTATCAATAAGTATTAAAAATTTGCAACAAATGTATATCTACATCTACTTAAAAACTATGAATAGTGTCATTAATATTGTGATACGTATTTAAAAAAATTTCATTCATCAATAATATAACAAACGTAAAATAGTACTTTTCATTACAAAAAGTGACGCTCTTTTAGTTCTGTAGACGCTCGCCATTGCAAATAATTTCTAACAATCTAAATTTACTTAAAAAAATAACAAATTATTTAACATAACTAACAAAAGAATAACGTCTTTTTTTTCAAGGCAAACTTGTGAAATCATAAAATGAATTATGACAGCATTTTTCCTTGATTTTTTATTATTTTATATTATTTATTTATTTATTTTGGTCGAGATTTTGGTCTTTATATTTGAGTGGGCGAGATTTCAGCCAGGGGCTTTAATGTAATATAAGAAATGGTATGCAGTTGTGCACTTTAAGAGTATGTAATAAAAAATAGTGGTTGCTATTAAAAAATATATGCCCCTCTTTCCTCTGTAGACGTACGTCATTGACCACAATTTTAAATTATGTCGATTGGCAGCAGACTTTCTATA